CTCTCTCTCTCTCTCTCTCTCTCTCTCTCTCTCTCTCTCCCCACACACACACACACACGTTTTAGTGCCTACTTTGCGGGCGTGACAAACATTCTGGACCTAACCTGATGTGCACCGTGGCAGTTTGTGAGGTGCAGCTGGTGACAGCACTTCTACCAATCCCGGTCCCTCTGCGGGCGTGACAAACATTCTGGACACAACATGATGTGCACCATGGCAGTTCATGAGGTGCAGTTTGTGAGGCGAAAGAGGAGGTGGAGGAGGTGGGGGAGGAGGAGGACGAGGAAAGTTTCGAATGTCAAGCGATGGGGGGAGTAGTAAAGGAGAAGGAAGAGGACATGGGAGGAGAGAGAGAGAGTAGTAAAGGAGAAGGAAGACAACGTGGGGAGGAAGGAGGACTGGAGGAGGAGGAGGAGGAGGAAGGAGCACTGGAACCATGTGTTATGATTTTGTTGTCTGCCGATTTCGATCAACACTCGCACTCAGACAATCCCATACATGCCCATACATGCATAAGAAGAAGGGAAGAGGAGACAGAGTACACACTGCACACAGACAGAGTAGGCAGCGGAAAACAATCATGCACAGGTGTGGAGACAACACTCAGTGTTCCTCACTCTCTGACAATACTCCCAACAACCAATCATAAGAAGACACCGCGAGGATAACAAAAGAACGTAACCAAGTCTGAGCCAATCTGAACCAATAATCGTTACAGAGTTTACCCCAATATCCCGCCACCACTGAACTCCACACTCCACTCTCACACTCACACCCTGTTAGTAGCGCTACACTAAGACTGCCTCTCTGAGGCCAGCGCCAACCACCGGGATGCAGATTAAGACCAGCGATGAAGTCCTCCGTGCCGAAGTAGGTACTCTGACGAAGAGAGCTGCAGCTATGGCTGCAGCACCACTGTCTCTGCTCCGCAGGTCACCCTGACGAAATAGCAGCAGCAGGAGTCTACCCACAAACCGATGTGTAGAGCCTCCTGATAGCCCAAACAATAGCAATCACCCCCAGGGGTGAGTGCTCAGAGGGCGCCCCAGCTATGGTGGACTCTGTAAGTCTGGCTATGGCTGTCAACCCTGACGAGGGACTCAGGATGCCGCCTGAAGTCAATCGTCCCTTTCCTCCCTTGGCTCCGCTCCGCATAGCGCCGCCGAAGAATGAAAAATGTCCAAAGTCCCGAACCAACTTCTACAATCTATTAATAGACTATCTTAGCCTAGACACGACCTAGACTGGCCTGACTGGACCGACCGGTACCATTTCATTTTCGGCCTCTCTCTACCCGGCTATAGGCTATAGGACCGTCTATTGGCATAGGCCGGTAGGGCCTGTCCGTCCTAGGGTTAGCCCGGGCCTGCTATTCGCAGTTAGGGTAGCTGTAGGAAAATTGAATTAGTATGGGCCCATATTTTCCCAAATATGCAGATATGTCCCTCATGCATTTTCCTTACAGGCAGGTCTCTCGGTTAGCCCTCAGCCAAACAAAATTACAATTCTACCCTATAGCTGTACTGTACAGCCTCGCAGTCAAAAAAACCAGCAGTTAAATCAGCAAGTCATTGCACATGGCTATGGAGTACGAAGGGGCCAACGTGTCTGCTGGAACAGGCTGCGGTCTGACAACCGCCATAGCTAAGGGGATGCAGTTGGAGGAAGATGGTTCTCACCCCTCCCTTCGTCCTCCTCCTCCTACTACTCTCGCTCTCTCTCTCTCTTTTGTTCATTCGTTCGTGCATATGTGTGTGTGTGTGTGTGTGTGTGTGTGTGTGTGTGTGTGTGTGTGTGTGTGAGAGAGAGAGAGAGAG